TCCCTCACATTCACATCCACGCTTTTCGCCCTCGCTCAACTCTGCACGCAGGACCCGAAGCTCCTTTGAAAAGTCGACATATCAGTGAGGTTCTTACCTTTGGCCCACTCGATGATTGAGACTGCATCCTTGCCCCCATCGATGTGGTACAGACCAAGTACGCGTCCGAGTTCGCCCGCCTTCACAATTCCGTCGAACGCATCCGTCAGCGCCTTCGGTGGTGCATCAGCTGCGCGTACTGTAAACTCATGGGCTCGCCATTAGAGAGCCACGGTTCAAGATAGTAAGGTCCCGATGCGGCAATCTGAACCGGTTGAGATACATTCCCCTCTGCTAGCATGATCTCTCCCTTGCCAAGTTTGCAATGAGGAAACATGTAAGTTGGTTAGCTCAATGCTGAAGTCGGCGAGAAGTGACATATTCCAATCAAACGAATCACATCAATCGGTACCAGCCCTGATATTCTCCAATGTAACGCACAATTACTGCAGAGTGTGGCGATTTTCTGGCTCCGCGCGTATACATGCCTCGACAACAGCCCCGAGTGGTTCGGGTACCGGCAACTCCAGGGGCTCTCGGCAACGATCCAGAGGCCGGACAATATCGCCGTCGACCTCGAAGTGGCCAGAAACTACGGGTAGATGGCGACGAAGGCGAAGAATATCGCCTGAGAGTGTGCCTGGAATATCATAGAGACGGATACACTGGCCTAGATCAGTTCCGTCCTCAAACCAATAGATCACGTTTGGCTTGTCACCGCTTGTGCTCATGACGTCGAGAACGGGCTTGCCGACTGAAGGAAAGAGTTTCGAGCTCTGACGGCGCCTATGACAGTCCTCCCGAAGCTAGGCAACTTTGGTGGCGAAAGCATCTTGATGTTTGGTTTCCGCGTCGAGGATGTCCACGATGTCCAATGCAGTTGGCCGTAGCAATAGGGATGGAAAGAAGGAAGTAAATAAACAAGGTAAACAATGGTTGGCTAGCGCTAACTTATGGGTGCTGTGGCAGTGTAAAGCGGTATGTGGCTTAGTTGTGGCTAGTATACTCAGTCTAGAAGTGATTCAGTAGCGTAGCGAGGAGGTTGTGTTAAACGAAGTAGGCGGTGATTATCTCGCAAGCATAGTACTTAAGCGAAGAAAGCAAACTGCAACTTGATGTGATGATTGAATAGGCAATCGTGAAGCAGATATTATTAATAGACGGCCTGCAAATTCAGGAATCAACATCTTGGCCACTTACTCACCTATGTAGTAGCTGATAGGGCGACTTCCTAGGAATAAAGGGCAGTGTAGGTAGTAGGTACGTACTAGGTTTTACCACTTTCTGTGTTGCAAATAAATGGAGTTTACTGTACATAGATGCTGCTTTGCTCAGGCTCAGTTCACCCGATCCTCAGTTAAGTAGGTAACTATGTAGTACTATCTACAACTTACCTAGTATAGGTACTTAGGTACCTGAGCAGCAAGATTTATGCATGCCTATGCATATCCAACACGTTTCGAAACGGTTTATACAACCGGTTTGTTATTGAGCCGCATTGACCTAAACATACCATTTGTAGCAAGGATGCTACCACAATAACAAGTATTATATTCTTGTTGTATATACAGGGGCATTAAATAGTTATTTAGTATTAATTTAAGATTTTCTTGTTTGCCTAATAAATGCAATGGCTGTAGTAGCTAAAGGAAGTAATAAACCAGGGAGTATGCCTCTCGTAGTAGGTAATATTAATGGAAGTTGGGGCTTTGTAGCTAAACGTGCATGGAGCCTAATTGTTTATTCTTGTTTCTATGTTCAACCACAACTTCCAATCATTACTGTCAAAGGCACCGGCAACAGAAATCCGTCTCCTAGACTTATTATCTAGAGCCCACTGCTTCTGGGACTTTAGCAGGTCTATTAAGGCATGTGGAGATTGGCACGCCCCTTAGGGGAATGTTCTTGCTAACAGATAATCATCTATCTAATTGCTTGTTGGTAGCCTTCATTAACCCCCGGCTACTAGAAAGTAATACCAGACTCGAATTACCTAAGAGCTCTAGAAATGTTAGTGGTGACTACCTGTGGATACCTAATTGTATACGGTAGATAAGGCGGCCTTTTCTTACAAGAAGGATGGCTGAAATGAGGGGCTACTGCCTAATTTAATGTATGTTAGTTGTTATATTTGTTGTTGGTCTGCAGGATTCCAGGATATCCGCCACCCCGAATAGTGGGACAATTCCTGCGGCTTCCAAGTTACCATGCGGGCCTGGCGCCAAGTGCTCTTAGGACAAGAGATTAGCTATGTGATCGAAGCTAGTAATATTCATTAAAGAAGAGAAGCTAAATATTCACATAATTTACCATGTAAAGCAATTTAGACATCGAGTGGTTATGTCATACGTTCCGTCGAAGGCTATGCCCGAGGCTGGCTGGAACTCCATAACAGTGCGCAGGGGATCCCGTACCACTACCGCGTAAAATCCGTACCAATACAATTTGGCCGACAGACTGACACAATATTCGAACCAGTACGACCATGGGTCCCGTGCTAGTACGAACCCAGACCAACATGGGCTTGGATCAGTACGGACTCGAGGACGCTTTGCTCTAGGCTAATAGCGGGCTTAGTTTACGCTCCGCTGCTCTGTTAGGCCCTGGCCTCAGCGATTCGCCTAATCTCTGTAACTGGCTTGTGTTGTTTTGGATTAAAGCAGCTTTGGCCGCTCTAGGCTAGATGGCTTGATCAACTTAGGTTCTGACTTATGTTTGGTAAAAGAGTTGGCTTATAGGATAGATAAGATGCTGTTATGGCTTACTTTTAGATACGATTGCTTGAAAGTTAACTTTGATTAAGTCTATTATATATATAAGTAGATTTAAAGAAAACTCTAGTTAGGTAGTTTACCTCAATGTTATATTTGAATTTCTTTTGGATAGCTTTACGGACCTGTTATGCTTTGTTTTAATAAACAAAATAGAACTAGTTACTAGTAACATTATTAAAAACTAAACCTGACTCTATAGTTAACTAGAGCCCCCTTGTATCCTAGTCAACTCTTGTGTGCGTAGGTTAGGCATATTCCGACCCCGCCTAGTTTTGGCCTGGTAGGGTAAAAGGCAGGGAGGGGCCGTGACGCCAGCATTCCTACGACGTATAGCGCCAAGCCTCGCATCTTAACCAACAGGATAAAGCAATCAGGACGATTGATAACCAACTTACAAGGGCTAGTAATTATACCAAACATAATATAGATGTTGCTGTTAGTAGCTTAATAAAAATGATGTTTTAGTTGAACTAAAAAGCTTAAGTTAGGTGAGAACATTTTAATTCGAGCTAGGAGCGTTATTGAATTGATTTGTAACTTGCTTAAAACAAACTCAAGAGGCCCCTATTTTGCTATAAAGCCTTAGGTAATGCTATTACTACCGATGCTATGCCCACCACCGCTTGCCGTGCTGCCAGATTAGTAGGGACTTCATACCTCGGTCCCTAGCTAAACGAATGAAGCGTGTCCCTGTTTTTAGCAGAGTAACTTAGGATTACAGTATGCAGAAGTGTAGCTTCACGCAACATTTGGTTTTTAGGTGTGCTAAGCCTTGAAATATAAAGGCAAGGCGAAAAGCGAGGGGAAGCCCTCTCCTTTTATATCTACAACTTTAGTTTCTTTTGTGATGAGAAAGTTTCTTGCCCGTCTCTCAATAAAGCCCCGTTAGAGGCCAAATTTGTTATATTGATCTCCCTTCGCTGGGGGAGACGGGCATATCTCGTCAGATACTTACGGTCATGAAACCCACTTTACTCTTGAGACTGTCCGTTCGAACAATATTGGCTATATCTGCTAATATTACCGATGGATTGATTTGCGACGCCTGCCTCTTTGTTTCGCATGTTGGTGACTAAGTGCATATGTTGGTTGCCTTTACATAATAGATCTGAGCTTGGCAGTAGGTCGGCAGTGACTCTAATTAGCGAGGGATAGCCGTTGTTCAAAACAAGTTGAGAGACAATAGTATTACGGGCTTCTTGATTAACATTGATCCTGGGCTGTGCCCCGGCGAAACCTTTGATTGCACTTGACTAAGTCAGTTAACCGGCAGCTAAACAATATTTCCCTTGATCATGTTCAGCGCTGGAGTTGTCACGATTAAATTGAGTCCTCACACTTAGCTGCGCTTCAAATTTTTTCGCTGTTATTTCTCTTGTGTGTTCTTTTACTATCTAAACCCATAACAGGTTAAAGAATCATGCTACCTATTAAGTGTACGGATATACGTATATGTTTTCTTAATATGCCTAACGAATTCTGCTAATATGGCTACCAAGTTACGTACTATAGGGCGCGGGGTGGTTTCTAGAACATCTTTACAGCTAGTGTTTCCGCTAGGTAATTGTCAGGCTCGAGACTTTATTAGCGGACATGTTGAAATTTCCAATACCATGGCAGTTGCGGCCGCCAGACCGACTGGGCGGTAGCGGTCAAGTATCTTTTCTTACCCGATCCGGTGTCGCAATCATACAAAGTAGCTACAATTGGTACTTCGCTATCACCGCTGCCATGATAATTAAGCCTCCGTCCTGACATTATGTTCAATTTTGACATGGTGCTGTTAGACCTCCTGCCATGGTGTCAGAATTGTGTAATCGTCAGGCTAGGGTCTTCATGGGAAGGCATATCACCTGAGACCTCATGAGGCTATGAATTCAGGCAGTTGAAATCCTAGCTGTAAGCCTTTTCTTGATACCCCCCCGCGCCGTAAGGTATTCAAGGATTGATTGAGTCGGGGTAGCATTGAAGGTATGGAATGAAAATCAGATGGGAGATTCGTGAGTAAGCACAAGTAGCGGAAGAACTTTTTGACTTTTGAAAGTGGCCGTCAAAATTAGGTGAAGTTGGTAAAAGGGGTGCTGACTCATCAGAGGCCCTTTATCACCCCTGAGGCATTTTTCAACAGTAGCAAAATATACAACGTATATTGGGTAATAAAAAACCCGTTCTTTAACTATCATAACTGGTTGGTTAGCTCAGTTGGTTAGAGCGTCGTATGTCTTCCTTACTACCGCCTATTAATCACCAGTGGCTAACACGTACTAGGTACTAATACAGAATCCCTCTGTATCAAGTAATGCGAAGGTCATGAGTTCGACCCTCATACTGACCATAATTCTTTTTTTCCTGTTTTTTTTTCTAGATTTCTATATCTTGTAATTTTTTTTTTTTTTTTTTTTTTAGCTATGTTAGGAAGTTTACATTTTTAAACAGTAGAAAATAAATACAAATGTTGTATGCTATGCAACCTTATACCATGGTACTTAGCTATTTCTGTTTAGTATTAATATATCAATCATTAGTTGCATTAGTAGTCTTGAACATGCTTCATTGTGGGTGTCTAAAACATGGATAGAACTAGCTTATTCTTAGCGACTCATCATTAAATTATACCCCGAGAGGAAACATTCTTGACTGTACCTACAAATGAATTGCCTTGATCATTTAGCCAGCTGCACCATTACGGATTGCTTGTTGGCCAGAACAGCCACTGCAGATAGCTTTCAATGTACGGACTCGTTTTTCACAATGTTAAATACATGTGACTCTTCGAGGTCAGGTACAGCTGGAGGCAAATCGAGAAAACAAAGACCGGTTTAGAGACAGTAGACATGACTGCACAGCTCGCAGCATAGCAGTCGTTGTACTAGGGATGGACTTATTGAAGATTAATATCTCCCATGCCGGTCGCTGTCACCTTGTGATACATTGATTGCGAACTTGCAACCAAGAATAGAGAGTGAATTTTGATCGATCTTGGGGCCAACAGTTGACATTTTGCAGATGCACCGTGACGCCCCTCTTGCCCCTCTTTCTATCTAACGTTAACCCCGCACTCCATGGCTCCCCCCCCCTTTTCTCTGCCTGTGCGCAAATGATCGTATCTCAGGGCAAATAAAACAGCTGAGTCACATCCCAACGGTTGGTTAGCTCAGTTGGTTAGAGCGTCGTATGCACTTCTAGTCCAAACCTTCTAAGCTTCACCATGACTGACTATTCACAGGTACTAATACAGAATTTCACTGTATATAGTAATGCGAAGGCCATGAGTTCGACCCTCATACTGACCAGTTCTTTTTCTTTTGGGCTGTCCATAAGTCGCTGTTTCCGATGAAATCAAGCGCCAGGTACCAAGTACTATCCGTTTTCCCCGCCGCACCTCACGCCACAGTCGTCTACTTCTATTAATAGCAACAGCTCGAATTATACTCATGTTTCTCCAGCTTAAAGAGATTCCGTATAGTTAATAGGGTTTTTTTTTTCGATAAATATGACTTATATTGGTCACGTAAATGTCTCCACATAGTGGGCTGAACGCGGTATGAGGGACTCCATTTTCGGATGCCATAACCTCCCGAGTCCAGTCTTAGAGGCTTCCATACCAACACTTCAACATTTGTATGCTTGGAATACTATAGCTTAAGTTGAACCAACTGCATATTTCTTTTTTATAAATGGTACCCACATGCAACACTATTTCCTCCTTTCATTTCTTTTTCGGTCTTGAACTCTACTGGCGACTTGCCCGAGGCCCGTCTATAAAGCAACCTGGCTCCTTTGCATAACTCGATCCACTTCTTTTTCTACTAGAATTAGGTACCTGTCAATTCCTCATCATTATGGCCGCCGCCGAGTTTTAGCAACCTGTAGACTACCTAGCGCTATTTGGTCTGCAACGACTGCAACTGGCAGGGCGAGCCCAACTCGGCCAGATGCCCTGAGTGCGGCGGCAGCCTCACTGCGCGCTAAAGTAGGTCACCCGCCCCGAGCTGATTTCCTATATATAAACTTACGATGGGTTAGTCCCTACATGTGTATTCCCGGTCCACCGAGTTGGAGTGAGCACCGATGGTTAAAGCCGGAGCGAATCGGGATGAAGACGTTGATGGAATACTATGATTGTGTGTTAGGTTTCATGCTCAGAGAAGATTAGGGGTTTTATTATAGAGGGAGGTTACGCTTCGATGATTTGGTTTGTCTAGCTAGGTCCTATCAATCATTTGTGTACTAGCTTTGCCCTCAACCACATTCCCTTCAATTAAACCATCCACATATACATCTCTTCACAATGCCCTCTCATTTGCCTTAGAAGATGGCTGAGCTGGTCCGGCTCTATGCATGTTGATATATTGTGGACGTGAAGTTGGCAAGAAGCCGGAGGATTGGGGCCATAATGCAAGTTCAAGTAGTACGGGCGGGACGGAAGACCGCAGACTTTTGACTACGTAACAGACCCTACACGACTGTCCTTCATGACTGTAACGGCTCTTCACCTACTGGAATCAGCCTTCGCCGCCTTTGCGGCTCTCAGCGCTGCCTTCCTCTTTGCTTTTAAAGCAGCTTCCTCTTCCTTGGCCTTCTTAGCCTCGTCGGCTCCGAAAGCCTTGCGCCATTCCTGCGCCTTCTCCTGCTTGATAGGCCGGAACAAGTGCTCTGCTTTGCCAATTTTATGACCGCGCTTGATGGAATCCGCGCTCCAGCAATCCGGGATTGGTAGTGGGTCCGCGCAGAGCTGCTTATTGATAGAGTTTGCCGTGTCGGGCATATACGGAGCAAGAAGGGAGGCAAGGAGGTGCACGAGATTGACGGCAATACCAATAACAGCCGCGCACTTGGAAGGCTCGTTGTTGAAAAGGTTGCCGTCCAGCTTGTTCGACTGGAGGAGGCCGTTACCCTGTTGGGAAATGGCGAGGACGGTGGACAAGCCGGAGCGCAAATTAACAGCGTCGAGCTCCTGAATATATCGCGTGAGAAGCTTGGCGATATCGCCTTTGAAGGCGCCGAAGGAGTCCTCGTGATACTCGGCCCAGTCTGGCATGATGCTGTCGTAGTTCCGAGAATTGACGAACTTTAGAACGCGGCTGACGAAGTTGCCAAGGTTCTTAAGCAGTAGATTATTATTATCACTGATGAATGAGTCCCAAGTAAACTCGGTATCACTACTTTCCGGGCGGTGGGAGACTAGAAAGAATCGCCAGACATCAGAAGCGACCCGGTCTTCTGGGCCGAATCTCCAAACACGCCAATGCTTCGGGACTTGGAAAACTTGCCACCTTCATATGTGAGATATTCCGTCGTAGAGAGGTGGTGAAGCTTCGTCCAAGATTCTTTAGTGCCGATTCGGGTAGCTGGGAAAATAATAGAGTGAAAAACAACATTATCCTTTCCGATAAACTGAAAGAGTTGAACGTCGTTGGGATTACGCCACCACTTCTCCCACTGGTTAGTATAGCATGCCGTGATGGAAATCATAGCCAATGCAGGCATCGAACCACGGATAAATGACCTTGTCCTCGTAGCCCGGCAGGGGGACTTTGGTTCCCCATTTCATGTCCCTCGTGATACTGCGTGGTTCCAAGCCTTCCTTCAGCCAAGCCGAGGTGATGGCCTTGCCGTTATTAGACCACTCGCCAACTGCGTTAGATTCCCGGAAGAAGGCTTCGACTTCCGGTTGCAGCTTGTCCAGTTCGATAAAGATGTGGTTCGTCTCTTTGGTAACAGGTACGGAACCGTCGACCTTACATCGAGGGTTCTTGAGCTGGAGAGTGTCCAGAAGACGACCACACAGGTCGCATTGGTCGCCACGGGCATCCGGATAAGCACAGGCCGGGCACTCGCCTTCGACGAAGCGATCTGCAAGGAACGATTGGTGCGCCTCACAGTATAATTGAGTTGTTTGACGCTCCTTCAAAAGCCCGTTCCTGTTCAATCTGAGAAAGATGTCTTGGGTGATCTCCGTCTATAGTTCAGTCGTGGTCCGACCAAAGATGTCGAAGCTGATGTTGAACCACTTGTATACGTCGGCATGGATAACACGGTATTTATCGCAGAGCTCTTTTGGTGTGCACCCCTCTGCGAGAGCCCTTGCTTCGGTGGTCGTCCCATATTCATCCGTCCCTGAATGCGTATCCGCGAGTCATCCTCTTCTTCTGTCATCGACGCTACATCCTGGCCAGAAAAGTCACAGATAGGGGCTACACAACAACAACAACTACAACAACAACAATAATAATAATATCAATAATAATAACAATAACAATATACCACCAACGTAGAGAGTATTGATACCGCGCCCTCTGCAATACCTAGCAAAGACATCCCCCGAGGGCACTGACCCGATGATGTTGCCAAGATGGGGTATGTTGTTCACGTAGGGCAGCGCGCTAGTAACAAGGACGTTACGCTTTCCAGGCTCGGGAAGAACGGTGCTTCCGTTGCGTGAATCTTCGGCCATGTCTGTGGAGTTGAAACTCTACCCCAACTGGCAGACGGCGTCAGTGTAGTGGTGTTGGTCGGAGCTGATGGACTCTGGAAAGGCAGAATCAGAAGGAAGACCGGATTTGTTTGAACCAAAGGTCACTCACTCACTCACTGAGTGACCCATTGCCTGAAGGCCGGCCGACTTCCTCACCTAGGAAGTTGGTCGCAAGCAATAAAAACGCTTAATTGGGAAATACTAGCTGGCTTCAATGGCAGTTTCCGTTTATTACTCTGTTTAGAATAATGCAAAGGAACTTATGAAAAATGGGGCCGGCTCAGGGTTCGCCTCGGGCTTGGCTGAAGAAATCGGTCTCAAAGTGGAAACGATGTTGTATTGGAGATGGAGGGGTCTGTAGTGTAAGCCTACCAGCTAAACACAGTACAAGCCTTACACCCACTGAACCTGCCCACTGGCTCAGGCTAAAAGGAGTAGTAGTGCACACACAAGTACTAGTAGGTAAAGATGGTGACGATGAATGCAAATGTCTCACTCCGTCAGCCTATCAGCGCCACCGAAGCCACTCTGCATTGAATCAGCCCTCTGCATGTCTCACCACCGGCGGCCAAGTCGGACGTAAAATCTGCCTTGTGACTCTATTTTCTTTCTCCATATATCCGGCCGCGAGAGGTCGTGCAAGGCCGTTTCGCACATACGAGCGCCAGATCACCCGTTCCCTTGGATATGTCATGATCTTCAAGTGGTATGCATCATGTAGGGGGAAAGAGGGGGAGGGAGGGGAATCCGTGCGTGTGGAATGGGAGCTGAGAGCTGGCTGCAACTGTAACCTTTCAGAGAATAGTTCTACTCTAGATTCTTTCCCCCTCCGATTCGCCACGGCCGTGTGTGTCTGA